TTGTAATCTTGTATAGACTTTGTAAGTTCATCAAATTTGTAATTCGTCCCACAATGATTGCACTCTTTTTTCCTTACCAAGTTTTTATCCCAATTGGGTTTTTCTTGGTAAGGTTTTTAATGAGGCAATCATGAATTACAAATTTAAAAATCAATGAAGAAGTAATTTTTTTTATATAGTTCGTTTGTGTCGTGTGTTCATTTCATATTTCAAATTGTAATATACATAATTACACATTGTAATTATACAAATACTTATTTCAACAACATAAAAATATAATATAAAAAAAAAAAAAATTTCGGGCAGCCGGTCGGGCATCGGGCAGCCCGACTGGGCACGGGCAGGCTTCCTCTGCCCGAAGCCCGTCCATGGGAATTTTTGGGTCGGGTCGGGCAGCCTGAATTTTCGGGCAGATCGGGTTCGGTCATCGGGCAAAAATTCAGACTTTTCGGTGGTCACGGGCGGCCCGTCCAAAGTTTCAGCACTAACTACTACTACTACTACTACTACTACTATTATTATTATTATTATTATTACCATTGCTATTATGGTTATCACTATCATTATCAATATCATTATCATTATTTCTATAGTAGTTATCGTTATTACTACTGCTACTGCTTGCTACTGCTACTGCTACTGCTACTGCTACTGCTACTACTACTGTTACTACTACTACTATTATTATTGCCATTATAGTTATCACTATCATTATCAATATCATTACCATTACTACTACTACTATTATTATTATTATTATTACCACCACTACTACTACTACTACTACTACTACTATTATTATTATTATTATTATTATTATTATTATTATGGTTATCACTATTATTATCAATATCATTATCATTATTTCTATAGTTATCGTTATTATTATCATTATCATTATTATGATTCTTTTGTTCTATTGAAATTTTTGAAAAATTTCTTTTTTAATGATATGATTATTTTAAAGATTTGAATGATTTTGGCATTATCAACATTTTATTATTATTATTATTATTATTATTATTATTATTATTATTATTATTATTATTATTATTTTCTTTTGGGAAACATTTTTAATAAATGCATCATCATAATGCCAATTCAGCAAATCAAAACCCATCACACTTTCCTCTAGAAAATAAGTAGTAGTATCATTTCAAAAAAAAAAAAAGAAAGAAAGAAAGAAAATAAGTAGTAATTCCTTTCAACTCTTTTTTTTTTCCTGAAAAAAGAAGAAAATTAAACGTTGTAGTTATAAAAAGAATAAAAATTCTGTTGTAGAGTGTTGAAAAAACATTTTCATCAGTTTGTACAACGAACAACTAAAATCATATCAAATTATAAAAAATATATAATAATTTATTGAGATTTGATCATAGAATTTTAACACTTAAAAATTACTATGCTTTACTTGTATTAAAATGAAATTTTCTCACAAAAAAAAAAAACATAACTGCATACATGTTATGTTTTATTCCTTTCAATACAACAAGCAGACTAACAATAGCATAAAAACATAACAAGTATTTATTCCCTTCCAATACAATTACAAGCAGACTAACAATAGCATAAAAACAACATGTAGCGAAAGGGTCTTGATCTCTTTCTTATAAATTCACATTTCACGCGATCAACGGATCATGCCTCCTTCCACGACTGGAGGCACTGCAACTCCACGGTTATTTGCGTCCACGTTTCCATGCCACCCTGTTTACACATTATTATTATTATTATTTTTTCAAGGAAAAAACCAACCACATCAAAAACGGTCCATCAGTCAAACCCCCACACTCATTACTGCATGTCATTTTTCAATTACATATATACACGTATATATATATATATATATGTATCTATTGAGACAAATTAAATTTAGATCTTCTGTTAAAAAATGTTGTCTCAAATCTAGATCCTCTGTTCAATAAATGCTGTCTCAAATCTCTGTCCACCCAATAAAAAATGCCACGTCATTTAATGAGTTTTGAGACTTACGAGACTTTAACTCCGTCATTGTCTACTGTTTTTTGTTTTTATTTTTATTTTTATTTTTTTTACAGGGCCTTTTCTATCTTCTTCCTCCTCTTTATTTGTTTAACTACTGTGAAGTTTCTTTAACCAAATTTTATGATATGACAAGATCCTCATAAATCAAAAGCCAGAAAATCAGAGTCTTATTATTTTTTTGGGAAGGCAAGTCAACCAAATTCAAACCCAAAAAATTCTCAAGCAAATTTTAGTACTTTGACTACAAAAAAAAAAAAAAAAAAAAAATTAACGGGACACAAACTTTGACCAAGAATAAAACAGAGACTTAGCGAGAGATGTTGAAGATGAATGAATATTATAGAATAAATAACCAATTCCCATGTTGAATCCCTTGTTCTGGAGCTCGCGGTACTCTTGGCACAAGGCACAGAGCCCGCAGAAGCAGTGGACCAAGCAATCACCGCAGGGACTCTCCTCCAGAGCATATCTCCGCCTTATCTTCGACCTGTAAGTACACGAGTAGCAGCACACGACTCCCACCCACACTAACAGCAGGTACAGCGCCCCACTCGCCACACATGCTGATCAATTCACGAATTTTCAACGGTTACGTTTTCATTATATATTTTTAGGAATTATTACCAATTTAGAGTAGCATTTATATATATATATATATTTTAAAATGTGTATATTTTTTTATATTAATTTCTTTTTATGATAAAATATATAATATATACATATTTAAAAAAAAATATACACATTTTAAAAAAATATACACATTTAAAAAATATATATATATAATTATTGCTCCAATCCAGTACCGGATCTCAGCACAAATTTTCATTGGATAAATATTATTTTAAAACATTTACATCCACATATATGTGTGTAAAACTAAAAAACTTACATGTGGCTCCTTCGTCCACGATCTCAGCAATTCGGCCAAAGGTAACGCAAGGACACCAGTAAGTTAAGCAGCCTAGAAAGAAAAACAAAAAGAGGTCAACAATCAAATCCGATTGTTTAATTTGCGCTATTTGGAAATTTGAAGCTTAATTACAGCTTTTGCAGTCGGAGAAGCAGTCGCAGAGGCCGGTCGACCAGGGGCCTGGAGCACGCGATGAGTACATGATGGTTTCTTAAGGGTAAAAAGCAGATATTGTTGTTTTAGTGGGAATGAAGTTGTGGATATGAGACCAGATAAGTGGAGTGGAGTATTTAAGGATTTTTTTTTTTTTTTTTTAGTTTTAGATTTTGTGTAAATTTCTAACCACATAAACCGTATCTTCTTGGATTGCACTAGTCACTCTGGTTTCATATTGTAGTTGTAGATAGTGTGAATTTCTCATCATATAATAGTTTGTACAAGCCTTTGTCGTGTAAGTTTGTAACTTAATGACCATTTAGTTCGCTGATTTGAGTTTTTAATTTAAGTTAAGATGTAATTTTATATCAGAATTTTTTACTATAGTAAAAAAATTAAATGTTACTGTTTTTAAAATTTTTTTACTATAGCAAAACTCGAATTCTAAATTCGTGAAATGAATGGATCTTAAATAAGTAATCGTTGTTGTTAAAAAAAAGTACTGTTGTTGTCGGATAGTTTTTGTTAGCATATGATGGTGAATTTTCAGACGAAGGCTACCATCAACCACAACAAATAATTTATTTAAAACATTGGTTATGAAAAGAGTAAAATCAATCCAATACTTAGGGTGTGTTTAGTAGATGGATCCAGAATCGTGATTTTGAATCATAGTTCAAAATCAGTGTTTGTTTAAGTGATTCTAAATCATAATTTTGAATCATGATTTAAAATCAGTGTTTGGTTTGGATGACTCTGAATTATGATTCAGAATCTGACGTGATGTTTTAAATTAGCTCAAATCATGATTCTAAAATTACTCCCTCTTGATTCAAGGTGATTCAAACCCCTGATTCTGAATTATGGTTTTAGAATCATGATTTGAACCTAAAATCATGAATCATAGTTCTGATTTTAGAATCATGATTAGAATTACCTTAATTTAAATTTTCGTACTAAACGAACTTTTAAATTGTGACGTTGGAAACTTTTATGTTATAGGATTAAAAAATTCCTCGGCCGTGAATAGATAAAGTGACAAGTGGCCATAAGAAGAATTGAAGTTAAAGGACAACCGGTCGAATAGGTAATGACAATTAATGGAGAAAGAAATAAGAGGACAACAATTGTTTAACTTACTTAACAATTGATAAGAAAAAAAAAGAACATTGAGGACATTCTTTAGTGTACCCGGCCAAGTTTTAAAACTTATTTCTTTGTGTTCCTGGATATTGTGTATGAATGTGGGAAGCCTAATGCCATGGATTTATAGCGATCGTGACATAATGATGAAGACATATAACACATCTTATGAAGACGATCGCTTGACCAAAGAGCATCATCAACAACATATTTTAAAAAACATAATCTATGACAAGTAAATCAACATGAAATTAATAAAAATAAATTAATAATATTATAAACAAATATTAACAGGTCGTTCTTTTCGTAACTCAAATCACATCTTAAGTTTTATTACTTCAGTATTTATTCTTATAAAAATTTAAAATTAACTTTTTTTATTAAAGTATGTGTTTTATTCTTATATACACAATTATAAGTTCCCAACTTAGAGTTGTGAAAAGAATAAAACTTAAAAGAGTTTCAAAAGTCCTTGTTTTTCCACGGTTCTAGTTTTGAATTTCATAATAATAGCAAAGAAACGATGATCGCATCATTGCAGGATGTGTGACATTGTGGCATGATGATGGTCCTTTGTCAATCTTGCGGTTGGAGTTTGGGAGTGACGATGTCGTTTGGTTACATTCAAGAGTAATTGCCCAGGATAGTGGAATTTGACATGGACATCCACTTACCACTTATTCAATTCCTTATGTCGCAGACGAAATGGACATTTCAAGGTTTTGCAAAAGCCAGCAGCACAATGGCGTTGAGCAAGAAGAAGAAGAAGAAGAAGAAGAAGCTAGCAGCGGTGTGGTTCATATTGCGTAATACAATAAAGGCCAGAGTTCTTTTGTTTTTTTTTAAACAAAAAGAAAAAAAAAATAGATTTGTACTTTTCTAAAAATCGCTTAGCTGAAGTACACGATTATATACGTAAAGTTTACGACTAGAATGCAAATTTTATTTGATTCATTTATTTCATTAATTTAAATTTTTAATTTTAATTTTATTATAGTTAAAAATTCTTATAAAAAGTTAAATTTAACTTTTTTTATTATATTAAAAAATTCTCATATAATATCACATATTAACTTAAATTTAAAATTTAAATAAACCAACTGAATGAGAATTTATGATACATAAGTGTAAGCACAAAAAACTTACGAATGCTTTACGATCGATATATTTGCAAAAGTTACCATCAAATGATTTTTTTTTTTTGGCAGGAGAATGATAAAATATATTTTCTTCAACTTGTAATTGTCTCTTTACTAGACAATCGTTCTTTTTATTGCACAATCGTTGGGAATTAGTAAGGAAAAAAAAAAAACTTTCTACCAAATAGTTAAAAGCAAGGATGAAAAAAATTAATATTTACAAGAAATACTGATATCGGTGAAAATTAATGTAAAAAATAGAAATTCATATTAAAACACTCAGACTTTAAGAAACTTTAAAATGTAATTATTTAATCAATTTTTTTTTAAAAATAACGGTCCTATAAGAGAATAAAGTCTCACTCATTTTACTAATTTAAATTTTTAATTTAAATTTTATTATTAGTTAAAATTCTTATAAAAAATTATATTTAATTTTTTTATTATAATAATAAATTCTCATATAAAATTAGATTTGAACTTCAATTAAAAATTGAAATGAGACTTAAATTAGCATCCACTTGGCGCTCCTCGTAAGTTGGTGAGGGCGCTAGCTTTGTTCATGCAAATGTGGGTTCACAAAGACCTTGCTCATTGACTTTTCATCATAAGCCAACAGGCGTCTATTATTGAATTCACCCGACTTGATAGTACCTATTTTGGGAACGCCCAGCGCCAAAGTCACTGAATGGGCAAGTCGTCAATCTCTAAAACGGACTATGTAATGTACTTTATCTACTGGGTTAGGGGTGGGCATTTTACCAAAAGTTTCTATTGTATCAATCTACCCTTGTGTGATTCCTGTTGAAGCATATACTCGGGGGTGGGTGCAGGGCGGACGATTTTAAAGCGGACTCTTGCTCATTGACTTTTCATCACAGTAGCTCCACCCACGAGAAACAAAAAGAAATAAATAACATTTGACCAGTTTAGCACACGTCAGAGGCTTGGCTACTAGCAAGATGAAAAAATTGTTATTTATAAAAATTTTAGTACTTAAATTTTATAAAAATATCGACAAAAATATTAATATCAGTAAAAATTAACGTAAAAAGTAAATAGTCATATTAAAACATTATATTTTAAAACAAAATTTAAATAAACAATGCAAATTTTGTGTCTCTTTACATCTTATCTCAACACTCATCTTTTCATTTGTCTTTATTGCATAATCATTTGATGTTTCCTCCACATTCGTTAAAACTATCATAGGTATGCAATTATTGTCGTTGTTGACGAAAATACCCGTCAACAATTAGTGCTCTTAAGAGGACTCTTATGAGTTTTCCCATATTGCCCTGAGTTGTCCTATGGACCAACAAATAATGGAAGCCATTCCACGTGGGCATTCTACCACCACATCAGCCGCCTCCGCATGAAACACGAGGTATCAAAGAAAAAGTCGACACTGTCCGTCATTTCTACCCTATCCATCTTTACTTGGTCTCTTCCATTTTATTAAAAATAATTGGACCTCTACTGTTCAAGTTGTTAAGGGATTGTTCTTTTGTATTTTTAAGTTAGAATGATTTGAGTGATGATTTTGAATTGAGTTTGAGTTATAATTTGAGTTAAAGTTGTAACTTAAGGCCCCGTTCATTTCGTTGATTCGAGTTTAGAATTCGAGTTTTGCTACAGTAAAAAGCTCTCACAAACAATCAAATCTAACTTTTTTGCTACAGTAAAAAGCCCTCACATAAAATCACATCTCAACTCGAATTAAAAACTCGAATCAGCGAACTAAACGGGCCCTAAATTTGTGTTTGGATGTGTACATTTATGTTATGATTTGAATTCAGAATATTTTTGAGTTTGTGTTTGAGTGGGTTAAAACTTAAATTTTTATTTAGATAGTATTTTAATAAAAACTCAATGGTGATGAAAAATTTTAATTGGGTATATGGGTAGGGTTTTATTCATCTTTTCGTTGTGAATGCATAGAAAAAAAATCATCTCAATCAGAATTAAAAGGAAAATGTTATGACATTTTTAAGAATAGAAAAAATAATGTTCATTAACTTGAGTTCGAGTTTATGAACTCGAGTTGAAAGGGAAACTTGAACTTGAGTTTAGCCCCGAACTCGAGTTCAAACTCAAATTTTACAAAAGAACATGAACTTGAATAAAGTTATAACTCGAGTTCAAACTTTTTACGAGTTTCGTTGCAAAAGAACAACCCCTAAAAAATTCATTGCACTTTATTTTCTTATCTTTTCTAACTATTTTTCTTTTTAGAACTTATAGTTCTCGTTAATTTTATTAATTCGAGTTTAAAATTTGAGTTTTATTACAGTAAAAAGTTTTTAAAAATAATTACATTTAATTTTTTTACTATAATAAAATTTTTTATATAAAGTCAAATCTCAACTCGAATCAGCGAACTAAACGGACCCGTAATTATTGAGGGTGAAATTCAACGTTTATTACTTATTACAAAATACCATTTCGAAAAGTCCACTTTACTCCAATCCCCATTTTCCATCTTTTTCCCCATGTCTCCCTCTCTTGATCACAACGACAATGCAGGGCTAAGATTTAAGCTCGACGACATAGCTGTGGGTTTTCGAGGTGTCTCTTGGTTTTCCATTGGCACTCGCAAGTGCTAGGCACAGGCTCACCAATCTTGTGTCAACGAGCTTAGCCTTATGCTGCCGAGATATGCCTCTTCAGCGCTTAAGGCCATGTAGGTGGTGGCATGGTCATCCTCGATTAGGGTTTCTTTTTGCATTTTAATTGTAAAAGGTTTTTTTTTTAAATAAAAAAAAATTCTTAAAAGGACAAAGAACAAACTTATCGATATTTCTGTTAGGAAAATTACGTTTTCTAATTAATTAATATGGGCCACATATTAAAATTAACAAGAAATAATATTTTAGAGATTGAATTGAAATTTAGCAACATTATCAGAATATTGCGGATATAGAAAAATATTTAAAATGGAACTCCATAATAAGTGCATCCCACTTTTTGTGGTAACCACCATTTGATATTTAGTAAGCAGTTAGTAATA